AGTGCCATTATAAGGCTTTCAAGTCAACAATCCACTGAGATGAATAAGTCCAGTTCACATTTCTTGGAGCTTTTGTTTGATGCTCTCTACAGACTCAGACAACTCTTCATTGATTTTATATCAATTATACTTGGCTCACATTTGGCAAGTTTTCTTTGCAACAGAAAGGGCTAGAGATTTTTATTTTAAAAAAATGAAGTATTGTATTCTGCTGCATCTGAATGCTTCATGAAGGTCGGATCAGTACTTTAAGTAGACTAGATCCAGTGTTTGGCACCACTGATTTACAAGGTATTATGAGATAACTAACTCATTTTTATGTCATATGGATTCTTATCTGAAGTTTTCTCTTCAGCAAATAATTAAGTTTATTAGCTTCTGCTGGATTACACTCTAGGAAACATTTCTGCATCTAATATTTTAGTCACAGTAAGATCAAGTATTCAAAAAAGAATGTACATTTTAATTTAAAAGGGCACACATTGCATGGCATTGCTGCTCTGCCATTCACAACAGACATTTTTGTAATTTTCTCCACCAACCTACTTGTTGAGAATGAAGACAATACAACAGAACCACACATATCTCCATTTCAATTTCTCTTAAATCTCTTATGTAGTTCCTCATAAAATCCTTGTATGTTCAGCAAAAATTTCCAAGTTACCTTTGAAAGCTCTAGCTAATTTACACTATATTTAACAACCTCAGTTAAACAAAAATAAGTGACAGAGAACAAAAGGGACAACACCAAGGAAAAGCACTCTGTTCCCCAATAAAGCCAAAGAGAACTGAAAGCATTTTCAGTAATAATAATGTAATTATTTACAGCTCTATAGCCTCATCCAGCAGAGTAAGATAAAGCAACATGGAAGTAAGACACACCGAACAGTGGCCACAAGTTCACAAGCCTTCACTGATTTTCTGTGCCCCAGGTATTTGGGTGCCCAACTTTGAAACTCCTTGTGCCTGATTTTCAGAGGTGCTGATGACCCTCCTTGGCAGCTATATAACTTCAGCCTCTCTGAAAATCAGACACAAAGTGTTTCACCCAAAACCAGAGGTACACAAAATCTATTCCTGTCTCAGATGCTGTCCCTGAAAACATATGTTATTGAAAAAGATCAGCTGATCTTACAAGATATGGAGCAACTGATGCTAATATATGAGATCAGAATCAGGTTGAGAATGTCCCTCCTCTAACCTCTTAAAAACAATACATTCTTCTTCTAGTGCTGTCCCTGTGGGTGCTCCACTTCAGCTGTTGGTGCGTCCCGGCACCGCCGATCAGAGATTTATGGTAGCAGTGTCGCGCATGCACAGTAGCCATCTTGTGGTGCTGTTGGTGCCGCATCCAGCATGCGCATGACCTGAGCCCTCCAGTTTCTTCTCATCTGTCCTCGGCTGAAAACGGAGCTCAGGGGCAGTGTTCATCACTCTTGCCAAACCTTTGAAAAAAATAGCAATCAGGCATGTGTTAGTGTTTTACATGGAAAGGACCAAACCTTTCCGGAAATCTTCTAGACTTTTTGTTTCTACTACCTAACGTTCGAAAGGCTGCGCAATCTCCACTCAGGGACTGTCTAAATGGATCTCTGCATGCATTCAATATTGCTATCATATTCGGAACACGGACTCGCCTATGCACATCAGAGCGCACTCCACATGATCAGTTTCAACCTCTATAGTGTTCCTAAATAATGTTTCGATACTAGAGATTTGTAGGGTGGTCACTTAGGCCTCTGTCCACACATTCACTGAGCAGTATGCAATCACTCAAGACTCCAAGGCTTATGCCATAGTGGGCCTAACTGTACTTACCACTATGACTCAAATGAACCCAAAGTCCCTCCTGCCTTCTGAGGGGCACTGCTGTACAGTCACCTGAAGTGGAGTACGCACAGGGACAGCACTTGAAGAAGAAGAGAGGGTTACTCACCTTGTGCAGTAACTCAGGTACTTCGAGATGTGTGTCCCTGTGGGTGCTCCACTACCCGCCCTCCTCCCATCTACTTCGGAGTTCGCCACTAGGACGCTGCGGTAGAGAAGGAACTGGAGGGCTTGGGTGGTGCGCACACTACACCCAGCACCAACAGCACCGCGAGACACCTACTGCGCACGCGTGACCCGTGCAGACACTGCTACCATAAATCTCCGATCAATGGCGCTGGGATGCGCTGACACCTGAAGTGGAGCACCCACAGGAACACACATCTCAGTTACTGCACAAAGTGAGTAACCCTCTCTTTGACTCAAACTGTGTAGTATTGCTAGCTATAACCAGTTCTGAAAATGAGATTCATCCCCATGCTTTGTCTCTCTTGCCCTGGCCCAAATACTGAGAAGATGTCTTCTTAGGGCATGTCTACACTTACCTCTGGAGTGATTGATCCAGCAGGGGTCAATTTATCGTGTCTAGTGAAGACGCGATAAATCTACCACCAAGCGCTCTCCTGTCAACTCCGGTACTTCACCGGAGCGAGAGGCACAAGCAGAGTCGACGGGGGAGCGTCAGCAGTTGACTTACCGCAGCGAAGACACCGCAGTAAGTAGATCTAAGTACATCTACTTCAGATATGCTATTCACATAGCTGAAGTTGCGTAACTTAGATCGACCCCCCCACACACACACTGTAGACCAGGCCTTAGTGTTCATTTCCCTTTGCCCAAATGGGGTGTTTGGGTGTATGTCACTACAGCCTGCCCACAGAAGAAATATGTTGGCTGGGCAGGGTTATTCCCTTTTTGCAGGACCTCTTTCCCCTATTAGGACTTAGGCTTCCTAACTATAGGGTGAATTCTGGACAGAAGGTGGTCTGATGGCCTTCCCTTCATGCCCAGTGTCTTCATAGGGTGTCCGACTGGTTCCCTTCTGGATCTTCAGTGATTAGCAGTCCCTCTTTTCCATTCAGTTACTCTAGGGAGCCAGTCAGTAGGTCCATATGCCCTAAATCCCCCCAGTAACTATCTTCAGAAGAGATGTAAGGAGACTGCTTATTTTTCTTTCCCATCATCCAAGCATCAGGACCAGGAAACACGTTCTTTGGCTTTGTTGCACATGCCCTTTAAAACTCTCAACTAGACATACCCCAGAGTAGACTGGAATATTGGGAAACCCTGCCCCATGGTACAGTGCACTCTTGGGTGTCTTTACTTTAGTGAGTTAAAAGGCTAGTATTGCAGGAATGTTCTAATTCCCGGTGCTGTAAGAAGGTGAGTGGGCAAGGTGCCCGCCCTGTGAAGATATCTACTGACATGACTTAGAGTGGGAGAGGAGGGCCCAATGATGGATCCCTAAGACGCAGGAGGGGAGTTTATGCTAACTGGACTCTCCGACAAGGAAAAAAGGAAAAGCTTGGGTACTTTTGAAGACATCAGAGGGGAAGGAGATAAAAGACCACTAGTCTTCCTCTTCCAGCCTAAGCTAACATAAAATTAAAAAATTCCAATTCTTAACTCAGCTACCCCCAAATATTTTGCTGCATATGTTGCAAATGCCAATTTGGTACTCAGATGTGCATTATATTCTTATTTGGGGGTCCTGATACCTGAATAGTAGGACTCCGGCTATCAAATTCTCCCAAATATTAATATTCACCTATTCACACATCACTACTTTTATGCCTATGGTACCTATCCTGTGGGCATAAAGTTGTTCTATGTATTAGTTTTAGTAGTATGTCATTCTATCTTGTTTTGTTTTATCTATAGATGATTTAGTGTTTTCTGTTCTGTTGTTGCCGGAGGGACCTAGAAGGTGATTTCAGATAGGAGCCATAAATATGAAATGTTTTACTGTTATGATGGGAATATTTCTCAGCTCTCACACTCTGGTTGCAAGATTCAAGGCTGTCTGTGAAAGGGGCACTGTCAAGTACTTTTTGTGTCTGTATAGTTTACACTTATAGTTTGTTTTTTGGATTTTCCCCCCGTCTGCTGTTTTTAAGAATTGCTTTTTAAAAGCTTGAGATTAACTGCTTTGTGTCCATAGTGCTTTGTGTCCTTCCCCCTTGTAATCCACTGGCAAGTCTCCTGTCTTTCTTACTGAGAACAGTCATTTATTCAGTGCATTTAGTACTCGGTTATTCTAGGTACTTGCATTTTACCCTGATCCAGCAAAGCATGGTAAGCATCTATTTAATTTTAGACTTCTGAGTAGCCCTATTCAAGGGAACTACTTTGGGATCCTTGCAGGACTGAGTCTTTAGAAAATATTCATCAAACGCATCTAGAGCAGTGCCGTAAAAATGAAGCACAAAATATCACAAATGAGTCAGAACTAACCAGCCCATGTACATATTCAAACGAGAGAGAGCGAGGACTCTGGCACCAAAGGAAAACCAATAGACAAAGTCCAACCACTCTATCTGAAATAGGGCTCAGTCCTCAAATTATTATAAATCAAGGGGAAAAGCAGGGAAGGGGGCAGTATATAGGACAGTTCAACCAAACCAGATGGATCTCGTCATGTGCTTTAAAGGCAGCCAAATGGGGGATTCAAGAGGACCTCTCCCAGGAGGTGTTCACAGTTATGGACCCTTAGCCATGGAGGCCTGCTCTTTGCTTAGTCCTAGGCATCAAGAGCAGACCTCAGTCAACCACATCTGCCAGGAAGGGATTATAAGGCAGACACAATACTCGATCATGTCAGAGCTCTTTCTTTAGAAACTATGCAATCTGGAACTCTCAAGGCCTAGGATTGTACTATTTCAGGAGTGACAAGGGATCAGCTAATATGTTGCAATATGGTTATGAGCTGGGAACAACCTAAAGGCTTTGATTTTGCAAAAGTCATCTGTTCCTTAATATAACAGCAGTTACTTCTCTAAAGCTGCCACATAATAGACAAGGATCAGGAATGAATTTGAGAAAGACTTCTATTCCCAGGCTAATGGATTATGAGTTACTGTCTTTGACTCCCTCTTAGTCACAGGTTGGTTTTCAGAGGAGAAAACAGAATTATAGGGAGAGGAAAGAAAAAGAGGGGGAAAAGGCATCCCTCTGGCTGGGTGATAGAAAAAAGAAAACAACAAACATATGCTCTTTTCTCACACTTTCCCTCTTCCTCACCATTCTGCATCCTTAGTGTCCTTCCAGATAGTTTCTTAATCATGCAGCTGCTAATCGCAGGCAGTGACTACTAATGGGGATGCATTGCTTGTGTTCTGGATCCTTTTAATTGGTACACGTTATTCCATCATGAGTTTTCTTGCCCTTTGCTCCTGAAAGATCTTGTGCTGGCCAGTATCCGAGATAAGAGCCTGGACTACCTCACCAGTGGTCTAACAATTATTTTGTATTACAAAATATGGCTATAGGGTGAAATTCACTCCAGTGCAGAGGGCTTGCAGAATGCTCTGTGCACCACTTGAGACCTACATTAAGGGCATAAGTGGTGCTTAGGGACTTGGTTTCTTCTATTTCATTATTTCTGTCTGCAGGTCAGGAAAGATTTGATTAGTTTCTCTGTTTTTCCACATCTAAAACCAGACCTATGCAATAAAGCAATTGGAATCATAATGTTGTCAAGCACAAGTGTAACGTACAATATCACTGGGACAGGCCAATTATACTCCAGCGTTGGGTTGCATTCCCTATTTTTGGCTGTGGGAATAGGTAACCATGGTGATTGCAGTAGCGCTACTTCTGCATACGAAGATTACAGTGAAAACTCTACAATTGCCAGCACTCACAACCACGCTGCCTCCTTAACCCAAAAGGAGAAAACACTCTCCTGCTCAGCCATGGCTTTGTCTACACTGCATACTAACCATGGGGTAAGTAATCGTGCTTGTCAATGCGTGGTAGCCTACCCCAGTACTGTACTAACCTATTCTGCCATTACTCGTCCCCACCTTGTTAACACTGTATGTGGGCATGACAAGCAGTACAGCTATCTGGGCTGATAGCCTGAGATTCTTATTGCCACAATTCCATGTTCACACTCTATTCTCACATTCACAACATGTTGTTTTTGTCTGTTCACTCTTGGGATTATGGGAAGAAATGATCTAAGCCAGCAAAATTCATTTCCTGGCAGAGACCCAGCTGGTATGGTGATACACTGCTACATGCTGATGTTATGGCTCCTCCTATCCTTAATTACCAGGACTGAGAGCTGCTGCTTTTTTAGGAGGAAGTGTCTTTTTTCGTGCCTTTTGCCAGAAAACAGTGGCTGGGGCTGGGGGGGTTCCAGAAGCTGTTTTAAGGCCTGCAAAGACAGGGATGGTGACTTACTGCTCAGAGAGGCATAACAGTTACTGACTAGGACTTTGTGAATGTGGAGGTGTGGACTGAGCTGAAGATGTTTTTAATGGCAGATGACCCTCATGCCACTCTTAGGCCAGGAACACAAGCACACACTGTGGGACCAGCAGTGGCCCCAGAACTTTCCATGAGGAAAGGCCATAGGCGCTGGCTTCCTCTGGGCCCAGGGAGTGCTCAATCCCCCGCTCTGCCCCAGGGCCCGCCCTCACCCGACCCCTTTCCCCAACCCCACCCCCCCATCCTGCCTCTTCCCGTGCCTGCTCTGCCCCCACCCACCCCATCTCCCAAGGCCCCATCCTCACCCCGCCTCTTCCCACCCAGTTCCGCCACCTCCCCTGAGCATGCCCTTCCTCCTGCATGCCGTGAAACAGCTGATTGCGGCAACATATCCTTTAGAGCCCTGGTTGATGAAGCTGAGCCAACAGGACAAGATGCAGTTCAACTACGGCATGAGGAAGTGCAGGATTGTGGTGGAATGTGCCTTGGCTGACTAAAGGCAAGATGACACAGTTCACTGACTCGTCTGCCTTGCGGTATGTTGAACACCATGCATGTGATTGGGGCATTTTGTATGCTTCACAATATTTGTCAGTTTACGGGCAAGTACTTTGGGCTGGAGTGGATTCCTCGTCATTTGAATTGGCATGTAATTAAAGACAACCAACAAAAGAACCCGTTATGGCTGCAAGGTCTGCTACAGCAAAGGCTGTAAGCGATGCCGTTTCTGCTCACATATTTGAGCTGCATGGCGACTATACTTGGGCAGAATAATGGGGCTGTTGCATAGTGCATTGACAAGCTCCTCTCCGAGCCTATGACCACTCCCCTCTTCCTCTTTCTCTCCTTGCAGTCTGACTGTGGGGATGGGGTCATGTCTTTGCAGACATCCAGGTTCCAAACACACACCTATCCCAAACACATGCCTCCATTCTGAAATGAGGTTGTGTGCTCAGAATATGGTCCAATTCACTGTAAAACCGACAGGTTGTTGAGGCATCACTGAATCTGTTATCCTTATTGCTGGCCTTCCAGTAGATCACCTTGAGTCGCTTAATCTTCTCCCTGCACTGCTGTCTGGTCTACTCAATCCATGATTGGTCAGCAGCTGCATAGATATACCTTCATACGGCTGGATGTTCCTCTTTGTTAAATTCATGAGTTTTGCTCACTTCAGCCCAAAGATGTATTCATATGACTGGGTGCCTGCACAGTGATACACAGGCTTCTTACGGGCCATTGCTCTGTTGGTTCAAACACTAGGAATGGGTGAGGCTGGAGAAACTGCAAGCAGGGTAGGACTGAGGATACTGAGCTGGAGGATATGAAGGTAGACCACTCCCAGTTAGGGATCAGAACACAGGTAGCATGGGTAGATGGCAAGGTACTACACAGGAATGGGAGCTTGTAATGGTCTGGAGGTCACCCTGGTGTGCCCACTGTGGTCAGGTGTGGTGCTACAGGTGAGCCACTTCCCCAGTTTCCCCTTACCTCAAGTATAAACTAGTACAAGCAGACTTCCTAGTATTAAAGCGTGTCCCCTTTGGAGGATCTTATGTATTTAACAGAAAAAGACAAAGAAACCTTCAGTCAGCTACTTCACCAGAAACTCTCCACCTATGGGTTATAAGAACAACCATATTGGGTCAGGCCAATGGTCCTTCTAGCCCAGTATCCTGTCTTCTGACAGAGGTCAGTGCCAGGTGCTTCAGAGGGAATGAACAGAACAGGCAATCATTGAGTGATCCATCCCCTGTCATCCAGGGCTGCCCAGAGTGGGGGGGGGGCAAGTGGGGCAATTTGCCCCAGGCCCTGGGCCCCACAGGGGCCCCCACGAGAATATAGTATTCTATAGTATTGCAACTTTTTTTATGGAAGGGTCCCCTGAAATTGCTTTGCCCCAGGCCCCCTGAATCCTCTGGGCGGCCCTGCTGTCATCCATTCCCATCTTCTGGCAATCAGAGGCCAAGGGCACCCTTGAACATCTTGGCTAATAGCCATTGATGGACCTATCCTCCAAGAACATATTGAATTCTTTTTTTGAACATTATTATAGTGTTAGCCTTCACAACATCCCTTTGCAATGAGCTCCACATGTTGACTTTGTGTTGTGTGAAGAAGTACTTCCTGATGTTTGTTTTTAACTTGTTGACTATTAATTTCACTGGGTGACCCCTGGTTCTTGTGTTATGTGAAGGAGTAAATAACACTTCCCTCTTCACTTTCTTCACATCATTCACGATTTACCAACCTGTATCATTTCCTCTCTTAGTCGTCTCTTTTCCAAGCTGAGAAGTCTCCTCATTTGGAAACTGTTTCCTATCCTTAATCATTTTTGTTGCCCTTCTTTGTAACTTTTCCAATTCTAATATACATTTTTTGAGATGGGGTGACCAGAACTGCACACAGTATTCAAGGTATGGGCCTATCATGGATTTTTATAGTGGCATAGATATTTTCTGTTTTATTGTCTATCCCTTTCTTAATGGTTCCTAACATTCAGTCTCATGTCTTGCCCCTCCAGAGCCTGGGCACTCTCAAACTGAATTCCCTGACTGGAGCTTGGGCCTCTGCTGGACATATGGCTGGGTAACAGTCTTCCCCCCAACAGTGCACAACTCTTTGCTGAGCCAGTCCCTAATAGCTGCCCAGGAGGTTCCACACCCCGTTCATTCTCCTAGGCTGCTCCGGTACTTATTAATACAGATTCCCATTAAATGGCCCTGTTTCCTACAGTAACTGAAGGGCTGTTATTTACACAACAGGAACTCTTTATGAGCTGATTACAATGGCACCAGTCCCAGATTAATCAAATTGCGTGGGTCAGTCTACAGACTCAGTGAAATGAATGTTCCAGCTGGTTCAGTATTTCTTAACATCATTATGATGTTTGAAATCAACTGATGGGAAAGTGCCCCCTCTCCTGCAACTGTGACTTTTACACCTCTTGTAAATGCAAAGGATACTTTAAAATTCACCTCTACATGGTCATTTCTTCACTACCTGCAATTACTGGAGCTGAAAGTCTCTTTCCCCTTAAAGAGCACTGTCAAGAGGGAGGTCAGACTAGATGATCATAATGGTCCCTTCTGACCTTAAAGTCTATGAGAGAAAGTGTGATTAAAAGGGCAGAATGCAAACACCATTTTCTCCAGAATAATATTTTGAAAGCCTTCTATGTTTTTAATAATCCTATTTAGAATTTTTTTAAGAGTAAGAGAGCAGGGTTAAGTTAGAGATGTGGCAGTGTTTTCATTATAAAACACTATTTTGCAAGAGTTTCTAGTACGTTCACAAAAAAATCCACTATAGTTTAAAACCAAGGAGAGAGGGCTTTTTTAAATGGCTGCTGAATTTGAGTGCAAAGTTAGCATGGAATTTAAGGCTTCCCTCTTTTTTTGGCATTTGCATAGCTCACCCTTTAAAAACAAAAACAAAAACAGAAGCTATTTTCTGAGAGACTGTATAAAGCCCTGACCCTGCATTGCAGTTGACTAATGGGACTCCAGATGTGCATGAGAACTGCACTAGTGGCCAGGTTCAGACACTATGGTGATGAATAGTGTTGATGGGTGTAGGCCCATATCAGGCTGCCTAGATTTTACACATATAATGAGAAGCAGCCTAAAAAAGTAGATCTACAATTACACTAGCTGGGATACAATTTTTAAGTGGTATAAATTAAACCCTCATCCTTCAGGATTAAAGACACTCCCAAACTGCCCTGGGTTAAGAAGAAACTTCCCCATAGGCATGTTACTGCATATTTGTCTATTTCAACACGCCAGCTAAAACCTTCCTCTGAAGTCTCTGGAACTGAGGACTGTCTGAGACAGCACCAAATAAGATAGACCATTGGTCTGAATTGGAAAGGGAACTCCTTTGTTCAAATGTGTTAGTAAAAGAAAGAAGAGCTTTTGGTGGTGACAGTGTTATTTTACATGTTGTGTTCTGCAAATGCTGAATAATAAAGAACAAGCCAACATGGCTGCCTCCTGACTACACCAATTATTTACCATTTCTATTGGAAACTATTTCTCAAAATAATTTTGAGCCTTTCCTTATAATCAAAAAAGTGGTTAAAGCTCTTTACATATTTGCCTCTAGCCAGAAGGTGTTTGATGATTCTGACATAGAAAAGAAATGTATGTTTGACTCATCTCTTTTTGTTCCATTAGGAAGAAAGCTACAATCATTTCTGAGAAACAAAGTAATAGCTACTTTCAAGAGAAGAGACTTTTTATTTTTCTTTGCATTGCCTGGGCAACACGGGCTCAGAGAAGAAAATCAATACCTTTAAACAAAGAGTTCACCAGTCTTTGAATTAATGTAGTTATTTTAATCCCACTTAAACATGCATGGATTGGTTAATGAAGAGACTTAAAAGCCTTCTGACGATACAGAAAAAGGAAGCTGTGGAGGCAGATCAGTGTGTAGTGGATTCTGATGCTCCTATTCGTGTTTCCAATTTACCTGATTTTTAATCAACCCCCTCTCATCTGTGTTCCTGGTTTATTTTTCCTTTCCCTTTCTGCAGTGAGGCAGTGTGTCCTGACCTTTGTCCCTGTATAAACACTATTCTCTCTAACGCAGTTACCATTTGAGTATATACAGCGATTGAAGTACAAAGTAAAATACCCATTGACTCCACTGGGAATGTGTTTCCTCACTCTTAAAGCAT